CAAATAGTCGCCAATTGCATGTAGCACATGTATCCCACAACTTATGATTGGCCATTAGGAGCGCTGGTGTTACGGTACTACTTCAGTACCGCTAGTTCGATTGGCAACGACTTGTGCAGCACAAGTTGTGCTTCCATTATGTACACTGTATGACTGCTGCGAAGGTCAATAATTGAAAATGTACATTCATGAATCGTTTCGCTCCGTCTATCACAGTCGCGCGCGCCGTAATAAAAGATTTCTACATTTGTAAGGCTGACAACACGTTGAGGCAGTTTGAGGAACATGTCCGCTTTCCTCAGCTGAGCTCAGGATTTCCTCACTAGTTATAGGAGTTCACATACGAATTTGGGCAGAAGTGTACAGAAACAATAATAATTTCCCAAAATTTTTCTGGAAATTTTCGTATTGTCACTGACACATGTAGTCGACTCTGTGCATCAGCAGTAGTGCCGACTTGTTATTTTCCTCATCTGCTTCGATCGACAATGCCGGCCGTTGGAAGGAACACTAAGATGCAGCAATGGTTGAATTACCGAGTTAGAGTCACCCTACACGATGAGAGAATTATGGTATGATATAAAAAATATTAATAGTAGTGGTGATTGACAACGAGCTTTGGTCAGATTGGTCAGTTCATGGCTTTCGATAAGCACATGAACTTGGTATTGGCGGATACTGAGGAATTCCGAAAAGTAGCATTGATAACGACAACAGTCAGAATGTGGAGTAAATCCTTCCGTAGGTGCGGTCGAAGGGCGAGTCTGGTCTTGGGGAGGAAAGGGAGGTTAAGAGAATGCTCGGCTTGTTGGTAGTGAATTCTTGGGGGGAAATTGGTGGTATATCGCCGCGGTAGATCCTACGTGGTGAGAATATCATATCAATGACGGCGGAGGCGCCTCCACCTAATGTGAAGAAAAGTGAAGGCCCCATGGTAGTGGTATGGATAGGCTTCAATCGGGCAGGTTTTGAATCTTAGGCCGGCCCTGGTCGCGGGCATGCAGCTGGTCGTGGTGTCCCCATTGCACCCCTTGGTCAAGCTCCTCAAGGCCTTACTGGACCGGTATACCACTCCTCCTTCACATCGTCTTCGAACTGCCCTTGTCCTGGTAGATACGTGGTGTCGGCGGTCCTGCTCCTGCCCAGATGGCTCCTGGTGCTCCCCCAGGTAAGATGAAATCTTCGCTGTGCGCGCAAGGATATCTTTGATCGATTAGGGATGCCTCCGATGCCTGGCTTCCCAGGAATGCCCCCACCCCCTCCTGGAATGATGCCTGGCATGCCTGGAGTAAGCTGACA